TGATGGGACTGTAGTGTTGCCTGAGCGTGAGCTGTGGTGCTGAGGTGATCATGCAGACTGAAGTGAAGCTTGGGTCGCTGGTCATTGAGAAGTCACCGGGGCGGTTGACATTTTACAATTGAAAGGTTCACTTCAACCAAATGACAAAAGCCATATTTTCTCACTTACTACGAGCGATATTTATCTGTGCAGATAGTTTGGGATTTGTTGGCCCAGGTTTTTTAATTTTGTGTTCCTGCCTACACCTTAATTGCCTTTATGAAACATTTCTTCAGTAGAAAATCAAAATGTCTGTGGGACATCCCCAATAAAAGGGGACATCATTTCTCAAAAATGATGTATCATTTAAATGCTGTCCCTCCAAAATAAGAGTGTATTGGGGTCGCAATGGAAATCCTAAAACCTGGAAAAATACAACACTATCTTCGAGAGTTATGTGTGAAAATACAGCTTTTTAAAATGTCTGAACATACCACTACATGATGGTTTGTTTGTTTTGAATCATTGGGAGCATGACGCGATGAACCCTGACTTCCTGTTCTCTGCCTCTCGAAGCAGCGGTGGACTTCGGTATGAGACGTGCTGTGACTGTGATAGGATATTTAACCTGCACATATGAACTGTGCCTCCAGACCACGGCCTCCCCTCTAATGTCTGTCAGTCTACACGCTGCCAAAAGAGACGTCGAGTGTAAGAGTTCTATGCTACGAGTTCTGTGAATAAATGTATTTTCCCAATGTTTCCAAGTGCATGTGTTGAGCTTGTGGTGGTGGGGGGGGTGTTGCATTCAAGCACACACGCTTCCATTCAGTAGTTTATTAATCAGAACCACACGAGACAATAAAAAGAAAATGTCTAGAGTATATGTCATGTTGCTGATTCCTTCTGAACACTGCATGAAAGCGGCTTGGTCTCCATCCACAGGTGCTGTCCAGCTACGGCCTCTAACGAAGCTGCTGCTGCTCTTTGGGTTGCACTACTAAAAGCTCATGCTGCCTTTTTTTTGTTACTTTAAAATAATTTAAATGATTTTCAGATTGAGACGTAGCAACATGCTGGCAAACCTTGAAGAAGCTTTTGATACAACGCAATCATGAGTTTTTAAACGGCTCCTCAAAGGGTCCCAACATTTCACCATTTGAAAAGCAACAATTTAACAATCTGCGAGGATCAAAACCAGAATTATTTAGTAGATCTTCAGAAATGCAACAACTTGAATAAAATGTTCCGTGTGACCGAGTGTCTTTTAGGTTCTCAGGAGAGTTCCATGGCTAACAAATAAAGAGAAGACCTTCATGGAGCGGACATCTTTACCATCTTTAAGTCTTTGAAAATGAAATGTCAAATGCTGTTTTCATTTTGAAATTGTTAGAAAATAGTATTTTCATTGTGTGTGAAATATTACGTCACCACATCGCTCATATCAAAACTAAATCTGTCCAGTCTTCAGTTAGGGCGTCACTTCCTCTTCCAACAAATATATTCGCAGCCTTTGTCACCAAAATAATTATTTTTGATATATTTTTTTTAATTTGCTTTATTTTTCTATAATAATAATTATTGATATTATTTATACTACCCATGATGTTATTTATCTTTATTAACTGAATGAATATTATGGCTGAGTTTTATATTGTATGTGTTGTGTTCATGGACTGTATACAAGTTTGTATTACATTGTCAATGTCTACCTTTAATAAAGTTGAGAAGAAAAACAGAACAAACTTATATACAGTCGATGGCTGTGGTTCTCAACCTTTCTTCAGTGAAGTACCCCCTAACCAGCGCAAAGCATTTTTGGTTGAAACAAAGATTTAACACACAGCGCTGTGCCATCAGTGTCTGCTGATGTGTGCAGCATCAGATTCCTCCTCTGTAACATAATGCAGCGTCATAATGCAAAAGAGATCATTTCCATAACCCGTCTGTAAATCATGATGATTACATATTAGTTTCCTGATGGAAACAAGGATATTAGACATACCAAACATACATGATCAGAAACAATAATATGGCCCATGTCATTTAAATGTCATGTTTGATTACTACACTGCAAACACATTGTAATTTTTATTAATAACTGAGTCCATATATTCTTATGCCCCTGCAGACACGACAGCCGTACGTCACATTTCTTCAAACTGTCTCAAAGACAAACTGATTATATTTTACAGGTCAAAGGTCAAGGCCACACAACAACATTCCAAACAGAAAGTCATCGCTCCGTTTCTTCTACCGCTCGGTGTGGAAAGCGTGTTGGAATGACCAACCAAGTTATTGATTGACATTTATTGATTTCTTCATTAGTCTAGCCTCTAGTATTTGTACTCGCAGAGGTCATTATTGTATTTTTATGTATTTTTTTATTGTAATTTTAAATCTTTTCCTTTAAAGCATCTCTTTAAAGTCTCTGGAGCAAGTCGTCGGCTCGTTGGTGCATCACAGGTTGGAGCTGCAGGTGGCCCTTCAGACGGCCCTTCAGATGGCCCTTCAGATGGCCCTTCAGATGGCCCTTCAGATGGCACAGGGGCCCGGCGGTCGACGGGTCAGCAGCACAAGTCCGGAACAAGAGGCAGAAGTCTTTGTTGGAGCTCATTAGGCCCAGACGTGGAGGACTCTTCTTCTGGATGTTCTCTTTTCCCAGGTCCCCTGAATGTCCTCTCAGCATGTTGAAATGTTTCGGGCCATTTGTAAAAGCTTTACAAAGAAAATGAAAATATAACACACTTAAGTGGATTAGGAGTTTACATTCGGCAGGCGTTGCAGTCTGGGTAATTGTGTATCTCTGCTCTTGTAGAACGGTCGCATTTGCAGCTGTGTGTGACGGTTACATGCTATTTGGATGCAGTGTGTCATTTGCTTTAGATTAAGTTTCTAGTAATCCAGCGGGGCCTGGAGGAGCAGCAGGGCGGAGCTCCACTCCTGGCCGGAGGAGGAGCTGCTGCTGCCTGGAGGCATTAGTAATACTGGAGGTTAACAGCCAGCAGACTAAAGGCTAGCAGGCTGGGAGGCAGACTATAGCAGATAAACTGGACCCCAGTAGTGTAAAGAGTCCTCTACCCGCCCAGGGAGCACATTCTTCAGCCGGGGCCTTGAAGAATGTCCCCGGGCCGCTGATGATGTGGCTGCTTCTCCGTCCTCTCTGCTGGAGGCGAATCTTCAGTCCTTTCAAAAGGCCCACGAGTTTAATAGTCACCTCATGAAGATCAATGCTGGGTCCATGTCACGGTCAGGTCATACACGTTTAAAGAGGACACAGATACAGGACACCAGGCAGGCAGCTTTAATACAACTTACTAGAGCTCTACTAGAATTCAATAAAATAAAATATAATTTATCAGCAAAATTATCCACTTTCCCCGAGAACATCATTATCTCTGATGTCCAGACCTTCTGAACACCTGAGGCTGACACTACGGCCACTTTAAGGAGCTCAGTTGTCTTGTTTTGTTGCTTCTCAGAGAAAAGACACGAGGTGTTGAGGGAGGAGACAAGGACATCAAGGTCAGTGAATGTGGAAAACACTTATTTCATATTAAAGTGATTGTGTGTCCATAAGGTGTTTGTTGTTTTGTTGCTTCTGGGTGCTTCAGAAAACGCTGGAGGAGCAGCAGGAGAACCAGAGGGAGGCTCATCAGCAGCTCAGTCGCCTCACCTAAGACGAGCAGAGGATGCAGGACGAACTCAGAGGAAGGAGACGCAAGTAAAGCGCAATATCGTGTTAAAGCTTTCATTGTTTCAGTAATATAGTACGCCATAAAAACTTCAAAATATAGAACGTCATAAAAAAATGTCATAGTGTATTGTATGTCCTAAAAAATGTGATTAAAAAGCCTTAGAATAGTTAATCAACTAATCAATTATATCGATTCAAATTGATTATAGGATAGTTGGCAACTAATGTCATCAGTTAGTTGGGTCGATGTCGTGACGCTGTGGAAACGTCTCCTCGTGGCAGTAAGCCAGCCAATGAGAAGCTCACGTGATGAATTCCCGGAAGTGATGCTGCCGTCTCGTTTAAAGGCCGAGACAAAGAGAAAAGGCAAACCTCTGATGAAAGACACTAACTTAAAAGCAAACAGCAGAGACGGTCAGAAGTGAATGTTTTACTTTTCTTCCTGTGGTTGCAGAACTGCTCAGATGTTTTACAAGAAAATAAATCCTGTGTTCAAGTAAAAGTACAGAATAATAAGCATCAACATATAGTTTAAAGTACCAAAAGTAAAAGTACTCATTATGCAGTGATTATATTATTGCATTATAATTATTGTGTTCATCACTGAAATGTTGCAGCTGGTATGTGGGGCTCATTTGAATCACTCTGTATTTCTGGGTAGTTAAGACTATAATAATACAAAATCATTCATTTGTTGATTTATATTTATTATTAATCTGAATCTTGAAAGTAACAAGCAACTAAGCCTGTCTACTAAATGTAGTGGACTTAAAAGTACAATATATTACTTCTCAGATGGAGTTATATTTTTAAGTATAGTAAGTCAAAAAGTGGTAAAAAGGCCATAGACTGCTCTGGCTTTTTTTTTTTTTTTTACAACATTGTATATCATGAAAAAAGTTAAAATTTTGTACATGATCAAAGTCATGATTAAGTATGTCAGATATTCATAAAAAGCCACTGAAGAGTATGTTTAATATATATTATCTGAAGACATCAGTCGAGTGTTGAGCCTCTCAGAGGAGCCAGGAAGTGTGATGGACAGCTGACCAACTAAATTAATGTATTTTCTCCAGTGTTGAAGTGCATGTGTTGAGCTTGTGGGAATGTTGCATTTAAACACACACACACTGTTCCATTCAGTAGTTTATTAATCAGAAACACACAGGAGACAATAAAAAGAATAAAGTCAAAATGTCACCGGACAATCAGTCTCTAGAGTCGTGAAAGACATTCAGAAATGAAATATGCTTCGGACTTCCTAAATGTAACCCAATCACAGGTACATCACTAGATAAACAGTGCACGGCTCTGTTGCTGATTCCTTCTGAACACTGCATGAAAGCGGCTTGGTCTCCATCCACAGGTGCTGTCCAGCTACGGCCTCTAACTAAGCTGCTGCTGCTCTTTGGGGTTGCACTACTAAAAGATCATGCTGCCTTTTTTTGTTACTTTAAAATAATTGAAATAGTTTTGATCAGGTTGAAACAGCAAAACACTGGAAAACATTGAAGAAGCTTTTAATACAACACGATCATACAGGTACTCCCTTACAAACGCCCCCCCCCCCACACAAAAGCATTCTTTTTAAAACTGCAGCATCATCATTTGAGCTAATGAACTCGGCCTGAGAGCAGGTAAGGAGGGGGGAAAGATTCAAGTCGGAACTTTCTGGCTGTTTGAACAGAGCGGTTTGACTCAGCAGAGCCGGTTAGCGCCCGAGAGGGCGGGTCACGCTCGGGTGGCACCGACGCCACCATCGGCAGCCACTCGGAGCGGACAGAGTCCTGGACCTGGTTCAGGTCGGAGGTGCTCAGCCGTGTGAAGCCACATCTCACGGTTCCCTGTCCACATCGTTCAGTTTATTGCTTAGTGAGAGAAGTGCATATATCGGTTTGTTTTTAACCCCCTTTTAGACATTCAAAGAAAAAAAAAGAAAAAAAGCTAGCTAGAGCACAGCTCAGCAATTTAGGAGGGTTCGAGTCTCCAGGGTTTTGCCCCGGATCGGAACAGGAGCAGTCCAGTGCAGCCAGAAACTCAATACTGCCCCCCCCCCCCCCAATCCCGGAAAGGCACAAGCTGCAGAAAGTCTCACATGCAGACCCAGAGTGAGAGAATCATGACAGTCTCCCTGGAACTTTCCAAACTAAAAGAAACAAATACCGTCGCTGTTATTTCTTCAGTTTTACAAAAATAACTCGGAGGATTTGATCACAATCAGTGATGTGAACAAAGTAGCCTAATGACAGACGGATAAAAAGTATTTTTTTTTTTATAATCAATCACTAGTAAAATGCTAAAAAACAGCATAGAGGTACCCCTGAGGTGTATGATTACATACTACTGTAAAAATGCAATAGAATTAAAATAAAAACTATCTTCCAGGGCACGGCTCTCCGTGTTTAGCAAACAGCTCCTCAAAGGGTCCCAACGCTCCACCAGTTCACCAGCAAACAAACACCTGCGAGGGTTAAAACCACAATTACTCAGCAGACGTTCTTCAGAAATGCAACAACTTGAATAAAATGTTCCGTGTGACCGAGCGTCTTTTAGGTGGTCGGGAGAGATAACATGGCTAACAAATAAAAAGAGAAGACCTTCATGGAGCGGACACAATAAACCAGCTATCATTCTCAAAGCAGCATGTCTGAACAGTTAAAAAAAACAACGCCTCCTACTGTGAAGCCTCTGCAGTATACTTGGACTTGATTAAAAGGGATCGGGCCCCTCGTCTCTTTTATTATTGTTACGGTTGGTTCCATTTCCTCTACAACAGCCTGCACAGTGTTGTGATGCGCGTGAGACGAACAACATGGAGGTGAGTCTGGAGTGACCTCATCGCAGCTCTGTCCACAACCACGGCTAACTGTGGGAGTCAAATGCACGCGTTTCTTTTTCTCCCTCAAGCAGCTCTTCTAGTGGCTCCAGCCGGCCACTCGTGCACACGTGCGCATTCACATGCACCCGGCAAACAAACAAACAAACAAATAAACACACACACACAGGATCAGTCAGATTCAAGTCTTCCTAACAGGAAGCGGAGGGAGGTGGGGGGGGACCCTCCCCAGCGCCTCCTTGCTGCACGTCGACCTGCCGGCCTCTCTCACAGTTTGGCGGCCATGAAGTTGATGTGAGGCTTGACCAACGGGAAGAGAGGCAGGCTCCTCTTGAACTCCGTCATGTCCTGAACCAGCGTGGGCTACGAGGGAAACAACACAACATCGTGACGTCTTCACATTACTCTGCTTCGTCTGTTAAACTCCCCTTTCTGCTACATGCACCATGTTTCTATGGTAAAGAAACCGACACCGTTAGTGCGCTTGTTCTGCCAGGATAATCTTTCTAAGTTACTTTTTTTTCTTCATCTGTGAAAACCTGTCCAATGCTATTCTATATTTCTCAACAAATCCCATGAAAAGGACCGAGACCAACAATGAGTAAGACAGTCTCTCCCTTCATTATCCTGTAATGTCTGTGACGGACCAAACAAACATATATACACATGTTCATGTTTAAACTAGAATTACTGCCTCGCGATTATGTCTCATCCAACCAAACATGTTGCAGTTTACATCATCGTGGGTCCAAAATGTCATCATGTCATCATTTTATCCAATTAAACATTTCTCATTGTTTAGGACTTAAGTCGCAAATATAACATATCAAAATCAGACTGAACATGAATATGTCTCACATAGAAGCGTAAACACAGAACATGACCGTTACCTGTGGCAGGGAAGGAGCGGGGGCCAGGTTGACATCATTCTGAGCGGGGAACTCTCCCACTATTGGACCTGGTAAACACACACGCACGCGCACACACACACACACACACACACACACACACACACACACACAGGTCAACCTGACACTGAGTGAACACACAGAGCGTCTAAACGAAGCCCATGAAAGCACCATGTGACTGCAGGTACTCACAGGAGTCCATCTCTCTGGACAGGACGTGCACGGACACCTTATGTCTCTTCGGGGCTTCGACGGTCAGTCGTTCCTGCGGGGACACAGAACAGAGAAAGGGGGGGGGGGGTATAATTACTATGAACACAAATGTAAATTTCATGGGGATGATTCAGTCTGGATGGAGGATTATTTATTAGACTGAAGATTTTGTTCGTCTGCAGCCAGACAGCGTCAACTCTAGCCGCCAAAAAAGAAAGAGAGAATTGTTCTGCGATCGCAGCCGATAAGACATTAGAAATGCATTCGGTTTATTCTGCATGGGGCCTGGAATAGTTTCTGCGGGGCTGAGATAGCGGCTGTGTGTCATCGGCCCTTTATCCCCCTGAAACAACACTGGCTGGCTGTCATTATGGCCGCTGATATGCTGCGAGCGTCCTGTGTCAGTGTCACCTCTGTGGCTATGAATAGAAGCGGGAGGCAGGGGGAGATGAAAGCTGGGAGGGCAGACAACACACACCCACACACACACACACACACACACAGGTGTGATCATGCTGTATATTGGGCAAACACTGCTCTTTTAACAAAACTGTGGTGGTCCTAACCAGCTAACCCATTATCGTGGGATTGAATTGGAACGGCTCAATTAATGCTTGAAATTGGTAATTAAAATCTCGCCTCTCAAACCGATCATGTTGCAGTTTACGTATGAAAATGTCATAATTTTATCCTTTTGGACAGGTGTGTGAAATCGTCATGATTAGCATATGAATTCTTGAAACATGTTTTGGGGGGACGGCCATATTCTCATCATTTCAACCTTGAGTGCAGGTAGACGTTTGTACTAAATTTGAAGAAATTCAAATCATAGGGGACAGGAGTAGATGAATCACAGCTAGCCAGATTATACGCTGAATAATAATAATAACGACAATAGCACCAATGATCGTAGTAATAAATTAGAAAAAAATGGACTTTTAAATGAAAATCGTGAGAAATAATTTGTTAAAAATCTCGTCTTCGCAAGAAAAGCGTCACAGGAGTCCCAGATCTCAGAGGAAATGTTGGGCTTGCATGTCGGATCAGAAGTGGGTGCAGTATAATTTATATTGGCCCGGACCAATGAACCCGACGGTGTATTTTGAACTGTATTGACTGATGTCCAGCGCTGAAGGATGATAAATATCTGAAGCCAGTGCACCGTTCTAGGTGCGGTCGTCTAATTCGTCGCCTAAATCCCTCGAGGTGCTCCCAGAGATATCAGGAGAACGGGACGGACAGACAGACATTCGTGTGTGCGTGCGTGGGAGGTGAAGCCCTTAAGGGGCTAATTTGTGTTAAATCAATTACATACCGGAGCTTTCGATCACATCTCTTAGTCTTGATCAGCGGATGAGTCGTCTAGCTGTGATGGAATTGTAGACGTTCAAATCTCCAGTTTCTGTTTTTCTGTATGAACTTTTGGTGTAAAAGTCCTTCAAGTGCTCACAAAAAAAAAAAAAAAAACCTTCCAGGACAACATGGCTAACTCCAGTGCAATATGATGAAACGCTCCAGAACATAATCCTAACCTAGACTCAGTTTGAAGGCATCAGACATCAACAATGGACTGTGTCTGTGCTAATTTCCTCATTACTGAATCGTCAATAAAACATTTACGAGTTCAACTTCAAGCATTTCCCAGTGATTGATTGACCTCTGAAATATTCACGGCTCTCCCAGGTCATAACATGGTTATTGTTGTAATTAATGACGCCATTAACCACAAAGCATCACCATTAGGTCAGATGAGCTCATCATTTAGGCTGCTGTTGTGTTAAATGCACCCGGGGAGTCATTCTACAAATATTAGGTCGTGTTTCAACAGTAAACTACAAGCAAACAATTCTCAAAGCTTAGATTTGTTTGGCGTTTGTGGTTTTAATATCTACTCATGCCAACATGTGAGGGTTAGACTTTATTATTTAATAGGAAGCCGATAACCTAAACCGATTCAGATCAGACACCTTCATCACCCCGTGTGGCTACGGAGAGGAACATGAATGATGTTTCAGACCATAAAGGTCAAAGTTGTATTTAATAGGCAATTAACGATGAAACATAGAAACGCAGCACTTTGTCCTAATGGGTCTAAATGAGTCTTCTAATACGAGACTTCCTCAGAAAGAGAAGAGACCGATTCGACCTCTTCTCTTCTCTAATCTCATCGTCTTCATGTGATTGGACAGACCTCGATGAGATGTGGATGTTATGAAAACAGTTCTCAGAAACGTGGTTCATTGGAGGCGAGAAATCAGCCGCGCGGTTTCTGAATCTGTCTTCATCTTAGATTCACAACAGTCACTCTAACAAATGTTGCCGTTCGCAATGGCTTATGGGATCAGTAGTTCCTTCACTATTAGATTCAGAGCCGTTGAAAAACTGGGCAGCCAGTGTTAAGCTCTACAACTCTAATATAAATCAATTACATTTTATTTGTATAGCTCAATATCACAAAGAGGGCGTTACAATCTACACACGACACCCTCCGTCTTTGACCCTCTCAACGGATAAAGAACAACTCCCCAAAAAAACCTTTAACGAGGAAATAAAGAGGGACGAAAGCTCACAGAGGAGAGAAGAAGTGCAATAGATGTCATGTACAGGATGATAAAAATACGATATAGTCAAACTAATGATAACAATGATGAACAGAAATAAAATGATTACTACTAAAAATAACAGAAGCAGTGGATAGTCCTGTACTCGACTATCGTCTTGCTTGGCTGAAGAATTAATTTATTAATTAATTATTGCTTTTTTGTTGCAGTTTGTTTATTTTATGAAACCTTGCCAAGTAGTAACGGTTTTATAAACGCAATAAGCCACTGGAGGCCGTGATTTAGAGATATTATACAACACGCTGCTCAGCACGATGCAGAGCCTAAACACAAACCTCACCATGCACGCACACACGCACGATTTTTCCTCCCATATATATATATACACACACACACACACACACACACACACACACACACACACACAC